ATATGTATTTTATGACATAAAGATAATGAATCACAAAATTTTATTTTGTTTAGAATAGAAATCTAAAAGTAAAAAGATATCAACATAGCAAGCAATAATTTCTTAAATCATCTGCCACACTTTAAAATTTTTTTGATATGATGGAACAACAATACAGAATAAGATTTATTTCCCCTATTAATTGTCTTTCTCCTTTCCCCATAAACCTTCCCTTAAATGAAAAATAAATACAATGACTGGACAATTTTAACTATTAATTTTAGTACCATCAAATTCAGACTATGTAATAAATTATTGGTCACTGTTTTTAAAAAATGACGATCGGCATTTGAAAAACTTGACTCGGTGCATAAATATAAGGGTAAATACAGAGTTAATAGAAAAAAATGGCATCCTTTTGGTAAGCTAATTCTAAAGTAAAAGATCTTTTTGTTAATTCCTTATATTTTTCTATACTGCACATTTTCGACAAACATTTGAATTACCTTCCCATTTTGTTTAAAACTTATTTCTCCAATTGAGTCAAAGTGTCAGGCATCCTGACTCATGAACTGTACATGAAAGCCAGACATAATCAGAATGTTACTCAAAAATGTATTTTGCTCCTAACGCTCTCTCTCTGAAAATCACACCCATTACATAGGGTGGTGCTGTGAATTTGTTAGTATTGAGGTAATTAAAGTATACTAAGATTTCATTTATTAAGTCTAATGTTGAGATATGCTTGCAAAAAATTCTGGTTTTTCATAAGTTTTTTAATTTATAAGTTTTTTTTTGATAGCACCAAATGTTAGAGTATAAGCTGTCATCTCGGGCCCAGTTCCGTGGCTTAGCAGCTAAAGTCCCGGCCTTGAATGCGCCAGGATCCCATGTGGGTCCCGGTTCTAATCCCGGCAGCTCCACTTCCCATCCAGCTGCCTGCCTGTGGCCTGGGAAAGCAGCTGAGGAAGGCCCAAAGCCTTGGGACCCTGTCCCCACGTGGGAGACCCGAAAGAGGTTCCTGGCTCCCAGCTTTGGCTCGGCACAGCACTGGCCGTTGTGCTCACTTGGGAGCTGAATCATCAGACGGAAGATCTTCCTCTCTGTCTCTCCTCCTCTTTGTATGTCTGACTGTGTAAAAAAATAAATAAATCTTTAAACTGTCATCTCATTTTCTTAGTGCAGTCATAACTTCATTTGTAAGTATATTTTAAAATTTTTCTGCTCACATAATAATATAAACATGTCTTTATACTATCTGTCACTTAAACATATCATAAAACACTGTGGAAGCCAATATTGCTGAGCGTATGATAAAAAGCAGTCGAGAAGGACTGAAGTCCTTAGATCCTTGCACCTAAGTAAGAGACCTAGAAGAAGCTCCTGGCTTCAAACAGGCTAAGCTCTGACCTTTGTGGCCATTTGGGGAGTCAAAGAGTAGCTGAGTTGAAGACCTCTCTACCTCACTTTCTCTATCTCTGCCTTTCAAATAAAATTAACTACAACCTCAAAAGAAACTTGTAAATTTAGCGATTGTTCATACTGCAAATGGGCAAAAAATATCATTAAGTCCACAGGTGGTTGACATCTTAACTTCAAATAGAATAAAATGGCTATGAGTACAACTCAATACAAACAAATGTCACACTCTCTTAATACTTTTTATTGCCTTTTAAATCTAATAACTTATGTATAAAATTTTACTTCCAGCATACAAATTAAAAAAAATAATAATAATAATCTGCATTATCCTTAAAGGATCAAAACAAATTTTAGAAAAGAAATCTGAGGGTTCAGTGCAGCGACATGGCAAGTTAATCATTCCCCTGTGGCAACAGCATCCCATGTGGCACCAGCTGGAGCTCCAACTGCTTCTCTTCTGATCTGCTTCTTTGTTAATGACCAAAAAAAGCAGCAGAATATGACCAAAGACCTTGGGCCTGTAGACCCACTCGGGAGACCCAGAAGCAGCTCCTGGCTCTCAGCTTCAAATCAGCCCAGCTCTGGAAGCTGCCACCATTTGGGCAGTGAACTAGTGGATGGAAGATCTCTCTATATAACTCTTTCAGGCAAAACAAACAAATCGTAATAATAAAAAAAAAATCTGAAGGTGCTAGAATTGTGATGTAACAGGTTAAACTGCCTCCTGTGATGCAGCTGCTCCACTTCCAATCAGCTTCTTGCTAATGTGAGTGGGAGGGGAGCAGAAGATATGCAAGTACCTGGGCCCATGCCACCCATGTGGGAGACCTGGAAGCACATCCTATGTCTTAGCAGTTTTACCTGGCTTAGCTAAGGTCATAGCAGCCATTTGGAGAGTAAACCAGAGGACAGAAAATTCCTCTCTGACTGACTCTCTCCTTCTCTTATATAACTGACTTTCATATAAATAAATCTTAAATTAAAAAAAAAAAAACTGATTCAATGAAGGTCAACTTTACGCTAGGCATTATGCATTTGGTTCTTTATAACTGCAAGGAATCTAAAATTTGAATACCCACTCAACTTAGCTTGAATATATTTACAGGTCTGGTCAAAAAATATATTGATATCTGCTTATTTCTGTATAATGAAAATGGTATTAGTCTATGTAAGCCCCAAAGAACATATTTTTCATATATGACATGTTTTCGGGGTCAACAGTTTCGGGAACAGAATTTTTTTAGAAAAAGGAAATAAAAATATGTAACTCCAAATTACAAAACAGTTATGCCAATAGAAAACAAGAAAAAAAATCAAATATAAATGAAATCACCACTAAGTTAGCGAAACTAGAATTTTATTTATTCCATCATCTTTAGGTAAAAGAACCTTTTCAAGACCTTGAAAGACAGTAAAGTTTGTGGGTAAGAATGCCGGAAGGCAAGAAAGTGATAAAACAGTGTTCTAAAAATAAGGCAGACATGAATCATATCTTGCTTATCTCCAGAGTGTTAAGCCATTAACTAAACAAAAAAGGAATAATAAATGTAAGAACATCCATTAATCCTATATTTTTGGAAAATATTTTAGAATAACTGCTGCCATTTGAATGAAAAATACTTCATTCAAAAATAATAAAGTAATAAAATAATAAAGAGAATCCAGGAGTACATTTAATATAATTCATTAATTTATTTCCAATGGTTCCAGAGTGATTATTTTCATCTTTAAGTAGAATGGCCACCTTAATATTAGAGTTATGTAAAAGCTGTCGATTACTTTCATTCTTAAATCAATTTTACTTTAAACAAGATGTGATAGCCAATTGGGACAATGAAACACCTAGTTACAAAGAAGTATCTACCAAAGTTTAAACAAATCCTACGTAATGGGTTTTTAAGTAGCATACAAGCACTAAAAATTTTCTTTAACATTTTAACTACTCAATATTTTAAATGGCTACATTTCTAAAATGCAAATTGGAACTAACCTGTTTATACAATCATATATAAACAAATATTTACTTCTAATACAAAGAAGGATATGTATGAATTGAATTGACACTGAATTAATAACAAGCCAGTTTTCTGTTCAGCCATTATCATGGATATTGTGTAAGTTAACATATCAAGTTAAATTATAGTAATACTCAGACTTACAATGTCTAAAAAATTTCAGATATATAGTTAAGAATAAAATTATACTCTAATAAACAGTGTGAACATATCTCAAAGAGAGAAAAATCATAGCACTAAGTTACTTACAAGTAAAACTTTTAGACTACCATAGTCAATTCTGACCCCACTCTAGGGAAAAAGGGAAAATGATCATAAATTTAACTGAACCTGAAAAGACTCAAAGTAGAGGAAATGATTGGGGGGGGGGGCGCCAAGTAAGAGAAGAAGGTGGGAAAGAGGACAGGATGAAAGGCTAAAGGAGAGAAAATGATAGGAGAGAGAAGCAGGACAAAATTCTAGACAACAGCAAATTTGTTCAAGTTGTAACTACTTGTGATATTTTATAAGCTAAAGCACATGTTCCATTCCACAGTATTATCTTTATCTTCTGCCATTCCTCTCCCCCCAAAAGATCCTTGGTTTAGAAGTCACTATCAAAACCAACATTTATTTTACCCACTAGCATAAGTCCTGAACCCAATACTAGTTCCAGGTTAATATAGAGAGATCTTTTGGCTTTGTTTTAGTGAACACATATTTCTTGTTAGTTTTTGAAGTATCCAATTATCTAAAAGTATAGGTTATACAAACTGCACATCTGTGCAGTTGAAAAATGTTAAATGTTACAGATGCAACACAATCTGCTAATACTAACTCCAAATTTCACACAGCTGCATACCTGACTTTCAGAATCAGAATAATAGTACTGACAACTGGTGATGCTACATAGTGAAGAATTTTTCTTTACTTTTTGTTAAATGTTTATTTATAGCAAGAAGTATGTATAAGTAAGAAATACGCACTAGTTTAAAAAGAGAAGCATTTCAGAATGACAACTCTATAAAAGGGTCACTTGGAACTACAGCTACCTACAGGATGAGTATGTTTGCTCAAACTCTCCTGCATCACAATTGTGCTTACAAAAAAAGGATAGAAAATGAATTTTCCCCATTTGTAATCTTCTCTTATATGGCTCACGTTTTTCTCTACCATCATTTAGAACACTTCATCCAATTGTAAATTACTACTACAGCACTGATAAGAGCAAAGACTACATCTAAGAATTTATTTAGAATCTGTATTCCATCTACTTCTCATGCCTTTACAAACGTTTTTTGATTGAAATAGCAATATTATCTTTTCAAAAGAAATACTAAAATTCAAATTTTCTATTAAATAACCATTTCTCCCCTATTTTTGTGCTTTCAAAAATCCTTACATATTTTTACTCATATTTAAGTTTTGCTTTAAGATTCTCAGCCATATATTTTAGGCTAAGGCATCAAAATTCGGAGCAATAAATCTCATTAATGTGCTGAAATGAGTCACTCAAATATATAATTGCAGTGCTGATACATTAACAGCAAAGCGTGCTTACAGGTTTACTATCTGGAACTCACTGGAAATAGTTACTCAACTTACCTGGTGCTAATCCAGCAGCAGCGGGGTTGCCCATGGATGGGTGAGAGAAAACTTGAGAGAAGGCAGACATATTTGACTGGGACACGTTACTCAGCCTGGAGGTTGATCCTCCTTTAGGAATAAACTCGCTTGCAGTAGGATTTGGTGTCTATTTAAAAATCAAATATATTAAGTTAACACACTTTAAGCCCAAAAAAAGACATTGACTTTACTAGGTATTATTCCACAGCACTTTATTTACTGAGTAACATCATTTACTGAATTTATAAGTGCTTTCACTTTACACAGTTTGTGTGGTATGATTAAATATCTTGCTTGAAGGTCTGACAGATTTGAAGATTCTGATGCTTTCATTTGCAGAATAAAATCTCAGTAACATAAAATGTGGCTTTATTATCAAGCATGCATTATTTTTAAAGTATTCTAACATATTTTAGAGAACTGGGAGGTCAATACCACCTCAAAACTGAGCAACAAGTTTCAATTTTAATATCTGTTATCACTTCCACCAGGATAAAGGTCAAAACTGCCTTTTTCCCAAAATTAATCATTTCCCTTTTATTCAATACTCAACTATTTCCCCAATAAGATGACACCATAAATTTAACACAATCAACATAAACACCTAAAAACAAGGCAAAAATGAATCCAAGGAAAACTGAGTGGGGGCCCAATGTCTATGCCAGTATCCCCTACTACCTGTGACACTGAATATATCATTAATTCATAAAGTCTACATTTTGTCCAAAGGAGGCAGAAAATAAAATGATGGACTAATTTCAATAAAACCTGAAGAAGCTTATTTGATACGAATGGCACTTGGAACTTTAAAGACAAAGTTCACAACGCTAGAATGGGAAGGCAAGAAATACAACTTAATTGTAAATCCTAAAACAAATGATACTATAGCAGCTATGAGACAACTAAAAGTGATAAAATATAGAAGCAATGATAAATCTGAGGTAAAATTAAAATATACTAGAAATACAGAATGGAACATCTGTTACTGTCACAGCCAAGACTTCAGGCCTGGACAAAATCAGGCATCAGCAAAAATAGATTTTCCAAAAATAACAGATTATCTTTCATAACCTCCAGTGTATTTTTAAAAGCCTTCCAAATTCTAAACTTTTCAGAATTAGTAGTACATCCTCTTAATTAGATGACCAATTTACTAACTTCTGAAACAGAAGACAATCAAGGCATTTCACTGGCATAGTAATTCCTACTTACAAGGCCCATTTATTTTAAATCATTTGGAAGTCTGTTTTAATGCGACCCTAAAAGGGTAGGAACAGCAGTTAAGATTTCGGAAGAGATGGCTCCAGGCTATTTCAGAGTGCCTGGTTCAAATCCTGGCTGCACTGTGAATCCAACTTCTAGCCAGCATGCATTCTGGGAGACAGCAAGTTTTGGTTCAGGTAGGCGAGTCCCTGCCGCCCGTGTGGGGGACAGGCTGGAGGTGCAGACCCCTGGATTGGAGTCTAGGTTTGGCCTAGACCCAGCTGTTGCAGGCACTTGCAGCCTGATCCAGCTGATGTCAACGCTTGCTCCCAATAATAAAATCGGTACTTTTCTTTAATACTATTAAGGATAAAGAGACACAGCAAGTCTATTAATTCTTCAACAAATCATTTTATGTAACTATGTAATTTACATAGCCAATTATCAGATGTCAAAAATCCATCAAACAGCGAACTGTAAATAAATGGAAAAAAATGGAGGTCTGCATTAGTATCCTTTCTAGTTGGTAATCTCGGAGTCTGGTTTACCTGTGAGTACTTCAAGTTTGAAGAAATACATCATTTAGACACAGTGTTTACCTTTAACTGAAAAGCTACTGTAGTTTTAATTATTACCATCATAATCCAATAACATTTTAAAATCCAGATGTCCCAAATAATTTCAAAGTGTGGAATGACGAAGATGAAGTTTTAAAATCAAGTTTAATGCAATTTTGCACTTCTCTACTGTCATAATATTTCAAATAGGTTATTTTTTTAAAAATTCAGTATTTAATATTCTGAGGATTCCAACAGAAGCAGAATATTTTACAATTGCAAAGATATCCTTAAGAGACTGAGTAGCTATAACAGCACAAACAGCACATCAATAAAAATTAGATGAAAAAAAAGTTTATGCCAAATGAAAACAGAAAACAATTTAAAATTATGGTACAAGGATTTGAGGCCCAGTGAACAATCCAGGACAATCTCAGTATCTTTAACTAGATCAATAAAGGCCCCTTTACCAGATAAGATGCAACACACAGGTTCTAGAAATTTGGACAAGAATTTTCTTTTTAATTTGATTTCACAGAAATTTTTTTTAACACATTTTACCATTTTTTCTACATAATCCCTAAAAAATGTACACTTTCACTTATTTCTATTCCACCAGTATATATTTTTTTCCTTCTGGCCTTAGTACACTAGCACATGCAGTAAAATGCTAACAAGAAGTGGTGAAAAAAAATATATTCCTTCACTTCTGATATCAAGAGAGAAACGCATTGCTTTTCATCAATAAATATTATGTTAGCTATAGGTTGATTTTGATAGATGCATTGTTTCAGATTGAGGATACTGCCTTGTATTTCTAGTCTACTGAGAATCTGGTTTGAGAGACAAACACTGAGTTTCCCCACACTGGTTCATTGCCAAGTGCCCACAGTGGTCCCACGTTGGAGCTGAAGCTGGGAGCTATGAACTCAAGGCAGATCTCCCACATGGTGGTAAAAATACATTACTTCAACCATCACTGAGTTTTTTTTATTAGCAAGAAGCCAGAATCAGAAGTGGGAGCCAGGACTCAATTTCAGGTACCTCAATATGGGTTGCATCAATTTGCTACTAACAAGGATCTTTAATTGGCATGTGAGTCAGATTTTAGCAAACGTTTCTTCTCCACTGAGATGATCTTATGACTTTGGTTAATTGTCACCCTTAATTCATTAAAAAAATTTTTTTATAAAACCTAAGCAACCCTGAATTAATGAGATGAGATAAACTCTACTTCCTAATTTACACTATCGTTTCAGGGCCTGGCATGATAGTCTACAGTTAAAGTCCTTGCCTTGAATGCGCTGGGATCCCATATGGGTGCCGGTTCTAATCCCGGCAGCCTCACTTCCCATCCAGCTTCATGCCTGTGGCCTGGGAAAGTAGTCCCGAATGGCCCAAAGCTTTGGGAACCTGTACCCATGTGGGAGAATCGGAAGAGGCTCTGGGCTCCTGGCTTCAGATTGGCTCAGCTCTAGCCATTGTGGCCACTTGGGGAGTGAACCATCGGATGGAAGATCTTTCTGTCTCTCCTCTGTGTATCTACCTTTCCAATAAAAATAAGTAAATCTTTTTAAAAAAAAGATATATACTATCGTTTCTATATATTTACTGGATTGTTTGATTTGATATCATTTCATAAATTTCTACATCTAAGTATAATCATCCTTGGGTGTTTTGTGTTTCTAATTTTTTACGTCACAATAATAAGCTCACAAAGTTGGGACATATTCCCATCAATTTGTTTTTGGGGAATGTTCATGTAGAATCTGCATTACTTCTTGCATATACATCTGGGAGAATCCACCAGTAAAGCCAGGTGGTTTTCAACAAACCTTCCATGTCCTTGATGTGATGTTCCCATAGACAAATTGCCTACTTTATCTCTGGCAATGCTGCCTTCTCTGAAATCTAAACAGCAATGCCAGCTTTCTACTGAATAGCATGGTATTTTTAACCTTGTTATCTTGAAGACTGGTTTCTTGCCAGATTATTTAGTTGAATCTTACAGCTTTTTAAAACTCAATTTGAAAATCTGCCTATGATCAATGCCAAGCAAACTTATACCCAGCATGACCAGCGACTGGGCTTAAGCTACCATTTTGCTGTTTTCTATTTGTCCAGTTGTCCTTTGTTTCTCTGTATTTTTTCTTTCCTGCTTTTTTTCTTTTTGTCCATCTTTAATCATATTTCTATCATTTCATTTTATCTCCTTTCTTAACTCATGAGCTGTAATGTTCTGTTCTGGTAGTAGCTGCCTTTGGTTTTAAAGCACATCTTTATCACTTTACACAAGGCATAAGAGGCTCACAATATTATTATTTCATTTCTTCTCAAGACATTTTGCTACAGTCGTATTCTTGCTTTAAATGGTCAATTATCTTTCAAAGAGACATAAAAGGTAAGAGAAAACTCTCATACTTACTGTTCCTTCTGTTTTATTCCTCTGTATACATGTATATTCCCATAGGGTATAATTTCCTTTCTGCCAAAAGTATGTCTTTTAATGTTTACTGAAGTATTTATCTGCCAATGATGAATTAATTTTCTATGTCTCAAAGTGTTTTACTTAATGTTTTTCATATAAGTGGTACCTTCAATGATTTTTCACTAAATATAACACTAGTATATTCGCAAAACCAAGAAATTAACTTTGATGCAATAATTTTAACTCAATTAAATTTCTAATTTACATTTTCTCAGTCTGTATACACATTCATGTGACATTTTTGCAAAGGAACATTCAAAAACAGAATTCTAGTTATTTTCTTCCTGTATTGTAAAGACTGCTCACTGTCATCTGGCTTGTATTACTTCCATAAAGAAAGTTGCTACTTATCTATTTCTCAAGAAATAATGTCTTTTATCTGAGATTGCGTCTTTGATGTTTCTTGGTGCAGTTTTCTTGAAGATTCTTATTTTATCCTTTGGACTCTGGGTATATAAGTTTCATCAAATTTGGAAAATATTTGCTCACCATTGTTTTTCTTTCTGTATATCCCACACACACAACTCTTTAGGGATTCCAACTGCAAGAACATTTGGCTACTTGATAGTGCATCACAGCTTCTTTTTTTCCATACGGTTTTTCATGAACATTCTCTATTGCTATGCATTCAAATGCATCATTCTTATCTTCTGCGAAGCCTGACTGACCTGCCACGAATCACATCTACTATAGTTCATTTCAAATGCTGTGATTTTTAAAATTTGACTAGGATTTTTAAGCATATACTCCTATCTGACCTTGTTTCTTAAACATCCAAAATATGGGGTCCGGCGCCATGGTCTGCAGCTAAAGTCCTCGCCTTGAACGCGTTGGGATCCCATATGGTCGCCGGTTCTAATCCTGGTGACCCCGCTTTCC